TAGTATCCAGGTTTTTTATTTCAATTTTGGTTTTAGTTATGATTATAATAATTATAATCAGCACTTTGAACCTGAAAATATTATTGACATGACAACTGGGAAGAAACGTGTTTGGAATTGGAATCGTCTTTACCCGAATATGTAGTATTCATAATTTGTGTAAAATTTATTAGATTAATTATTCAAATTTAAAAAATAATGTTTAAACCTCATTTATTTCAATTTAAGTATAAAATGTATTCTTTAAAAGCTATGTTGGAATTTACCCAAAAATTTTTCTTGAAACTGTACGCTAAGAATTGTGTGCTAAAATAAAATTATATCATTAATTAATAAAAATATTCTATATTTTTCTTTAAATAATCATTTTTTTTTGGTAAAATAATGAATAAAGTCTTAGTTATTTATATGAATCATAATTAATATTAAGTTAACTATTTAGATAAATGATTGCTTTTATAAAATCTAAAAACTTGAATTACAGAAATCTATATAGAACCAAAAAAATAGATTAAAAATGACATTTTATTGGTATTATTAATATCATATATTATTATAACATATTGAATATCATAATCAATAATTATTTGAAAATAAATAGGCAGAAATTAGGTTAAGAAAAGTATATTCTGGTATGTGATTAAAATACCTTGTAAACCAGTGTTTTCACAAGAAACAACTATTTTTATTTGAAAATTATTGAATTTAAAGCCCTTTAAGTTTAATACATGTTTGTTATAGAAGTAACGAAATATACGTAAAAATTACAATATTAAATTATTATTTCAATTTGAAATAATATCAATTTCATACTAAATTTAACATCTTCAAAAGGAGTTCATATTGCTTTTGAAAAAATCCATCAATTTTTTAAAATTAAACACTATCTATAGGTTTGCATCGAAGCGTTTCTTATGATTGTGATTTTAATCAGTGTCAGATATCAAATATACTTGTCCCAACTATGCCAAGCCCAAGAGCCGTGTCCCCACTGTGCTGTCGTTTTTTATCTAAGAATAGTATACCGCTAAACAATAAGTCATTAGGCGCATTACAAAATAAAATAATTATACCACTTTCCATTACTGATGATTATTGTATTGTTAATAATAAATTATAACAACATCTAGCTATACGGATTAAATTTATTTAATTTTCCCACTCACCCCTCAGCAGCATACAGAAATTTACTTTTAAATGTTTTCTAAATGTAATTATTATAAATAAATCAAAGTCTCATAGATTTTTTATATTGAGTAAATAATAAATTATTTACATGTAACAACTATTACAAAAAACAATGAAATTTTTGCGTATTAATATAAATAAATTTTTTCAAAATATGAATATTATAAATAAGTATTAAACCATAAGTATGCATATGATTTGATAAACTATTTATTTCATTAACATTTTTTTGTAGTCTGTTTTCGCTTGTATTGAGTTCAAAAAAAAATTTTTAATTTAAACATATATATAATTCTAGGGTCTACGTAACTGGATATAAGGTTAAAAAGGGAACACACTTTGTCCCCTCACATTAATTCAAAAATTATATAGACCAATATCATTTCTTCTTCAAAACTTAACAATAATTAAAAACAAAAATACTCTTTTTTTAAAGATTACATAAATCTTAAAAACAAATTTATTTCGAAGTGTATTTAGAATAAAAATATTTAGTATAATTAAAAATTAAAATCATTGGAATTGACAAAATAAACAAAATGAACGTATTAAACTGAAAACTTATGTAAGGAGATTCTTGTAATATTATCCACAAGTTTTCTTTTAACATGATATGAATTTTAAAAATTATTTTTTTAATATTTTATCATTTAAATAATTAATTACATTAAGACTAAGAAACATAGGCTTTAATTTTTGTTAAATTAAACAAAATTTTGCTTTTTATAAGTAAGAACGCAAAAGTTCGAAATTCTAGGAAGTATGGTTACTTCTAGCGTATACATTTTTTTACTTTAATTACAAAATAACTGAATTATTATGAAATAGTAAAATATTGTACATATACCTAAAAACATAATCAAGATTTATCAGGATTATGAAATTTGGTTCACATAGCTTTTTGTTATAACTGTAACTCAATAGACTATAATATCTAGTTGTAAAATATTTAAACACGTGTGTATATTATAGACGTATAATAGAATAATTATTAAATATAATCAGTAAATAATGTTTTGGACACACGTAGTAAGGTATACTGTTTACACTCAATAATGTATATTGGTATACATATAGTAAGACAATTGTTAATAAATCTATTCTGATCACTTCATAGGGCTAGGTGATGTTATCGTAGATACTAATGGTATGTCATAAGTATAATATACTTATTTGAATCATGTGTAATACGTATAGTATACATGTGAATAGATACTTTAGTATATTGATTTCGGTTGATCGATTCGATCTAGCCCGATCGTAATATATAGAGACAGACTGATAAATATATATATGGATTACCATCTACGTTAGATATAATAACTAAATAAATTAATAGAGGACATATATTTTAACACCTAGATAAGAATCTAATATTAGTTGAAAACTACCTGTAAGTATATATTTTTAAAATAAGATTTTAGTTATTAAATACCTAAAATCTTATTTATAAATTTAATAAAATGTGATAATAAAATAAAAATGGTCACATATACTTTTTAGGATAGATGGTGAACTACTTTGTCTTGTATTATTTCAACAAGTTCAATTTGTATATAATCAGGCACAGATTTTTCATTTCAATTTTAGGGTTTAGATAGTAAAAAAAAATATTTAAGCCAACTAACTATTTATTTTAAAATATACGTATGAAATAAATATATTTAATTTTGTATATAAACACTATTTTTCATTTTTCACTTTATCCAAAATATAAAAAGCCATTCTTACAAAAAAATGTTGATAAAACGATAAAAACTGTAAATCATTTTTAATAAATCATCACAATATTATTTACATTATACTATTGTAATTTTATTGAAAATCTACCTAAAAAAAAATTTTATTTTTAATTAAGCAAGAAAATAATATCGCAAGTGTTCAATATTACCAAAAATAGCAGTTATTTTATGTCATTTAATAGTTATTTTAAATATGATATACAACCAAAATATATATTCATTATTTTATATTTTAGAATTTATTCTTTATAAACATACTTTTTGATGACACCATTATTTATTAACAGTTTTTTTCTAAAATAAATTTCATTATAAACGTTTTAAATCACATTATTCATATTTTAATTTTTACCCTGACAGAAAAAAATAACATATAGACATAGGTATTGATTTTAATAAAAATTTATCATAATCAGAAATACAGCAAACAGCGATGAAATATCTTTGAATACAATGTTTCTCAAGAATAAACATTAACGAAATTCTTAGGCTTACACAATCATTTAATCTTTTATGCACGTTAAAAGATGAATTATGTATCTTTTAACCATCTTATTATAGTATAAATGAAAATAATTTAAAAATATATTAATTAAAATATACATATATAAATACGTATGTATAAAGGGTCATCAGAATTTAATGATTTTTCGAATAAATAATGATAATAATTCTTTGAGATAGTAGTAGAAAATTTATTTAAAGAACCGTTATTGTTAAAAAAATAATGATTTTTTCAAATAATTGAGTTAATGAGTAGTCTGCTACAATGTATTATGTATCAAAGATTTCGACATATTAAAATAGTAATTCTTTTGCGCATAGATAATTTCCAGCTTCCAAACTTGTATTGGGAACTTTATAAAGGCTTTTTTTTTAAATTCTAAATTCTAAATCATAATTAAATGTTAACAATGCCATTCTATTCTATACTCGTTTTAACTAAATAATAAATATTTATTTTGAACTGTATCAAAAAAAGTTGGATATTTTTGATGAGCATTTAGCTTCATCAAATAAGACAAGATTTAATTTGTGAACTGTACAATGCACAAATGAGGCACTGGTAATTTTCTAGACTAGTGACCAACCGTGTTCATAGCGAATTTGGTTTTAATTTTCAGGGCAATATCATTAACTAGATATAATTTAGTTTGAAAAAATCAATTGATTTAACGAAAAAATTGGAGGTAATATACACTCAATAAATCGACTGTATAAGAAAGAAAAAAAATTTGTCGTGATGTTAAGTGTTGACTTTTTTGGCAATATTTTGAAATAGTACATCTAAGATATTTTTTATTTTTTATAAAAGTACAAAATTTTATTTAATTATAATTTTTCATTGTGTTTGTTACTGTCAGGGTAAGGATTGTTTATGTATTCAAACTAGGGTCTTCATTTGTACTTGCTGGTATAAGCTAATATACTTCTGTAAATAGGCCTTAGGTCAGCTAGCCATACTTTGCAATAATGTGTTCTGGTCTTAAATTTTACAAATTGAATTTATACCCGGAATATATGACAAACATAATAAGAAAAATATGTGATATCAATAAATATTAAATATCGTTATGTTATTAATAATGTAAAACAATAGTCATTAAAACATAAAAATATTCTTTCCAAAAATTATATTAAAAAATTTTATTTAAAAAAAGTAGCCTCCTGTCACTACAAACGCTAAATGTAAAAAATGTAATAACGTTTTACTATAAAAAAACCATAATAATTTCTTGCAAAAAACAAGTACATAATAATTATTATAAGAAATATAAAAATTATTCAGCCATATGTAACAGCAATTTAAGTAGTTTTAAAATAAGTATTTCACTTTATTTACATGCAAAATTATATTAAATGTCATATTTATTTAAAATAAGTGAGTACAATTTAATATTAAATAAAATAATAAATATATACTGCTAGCTACAATATATAAAAACGATTAATTCTAGACCCAATTCATTTAAATCATTGAATAGTTTTACACATTTATCGAATTTTAATTTCATTAAATTAATAAGAATGAATTTAATTTTAATGTTCTCAATATTTATTACACTTTACCTGATATCTGATTCAAGTTGTAACGATTATCCAAAAGACGAGGAGAAAATGACAGTTGCGATTACTACAGGATGGAAATCTTTTAGATGTAATTATTATTATGAAAATGATGAAGCATTAACAAATAAAAAACATATCTCGGTAAGCTGTTTAGGTCGTTCTGATATCGAATTGTCGTACAAATATGGTGGTATAATATTAAATTCAGTTTATGTCTGTCTTATGGAACAACTTTATAAGAAATATACAAATGCAGCAAATTTTTATATGAATTTAAATGAATATGATCAAAAATTGAATGGCTTACAAAAATTATGGAAAAGTATAACTATGTTGAAAATTTTGATAGTCCATATGATAAACGGCCTTAAGTTTTTTAACTTTGAGGAAAAAGCTGTGCTTTATAATCTTGAAAATTTCAAAAAATTTATAGATGATAACACTAATATAGTAAATTGTAATGAGCATAATATTGATAATAAGTTTAATAGTATAATCAATATTGTAGAATTTGACAAAACTCTAAAGGAATTTAAACAAAGACACGTTGTTGAAGTCAGAGTAGAACTTGAGATCGTTAAATTTATTAATTCCCTATGTGGAGTTCATGATACGAAAATAAATGATAACGAATTAATTGATCCTGACCAGAATAATTTTAAAATAATAATTAAAAATGGTATTTATTCATTTTATTCACAATTTGGATTACAATACTATATGTTCAATCAGAACATTAAGGAAGAAGAAAAATTTAATTTCACTTTTAATTTCTATAAAGAAAAAATTGACGGTTCAAGTAGTAACCAACTTAAAATCATCTCTAAGTATTACAAAAAAAAATTTAAAGAATAATTGTAAGAATTAAAAAGATTAATAAAAGTAGAAAAATAATAAGTTATAAATATAAAAAAAATATTTTCATTTTATTTAAATAATTGTATTGGTACAAAACAAAATTGTAATATGTTGATGACTATGTTGCTAACTTTTGTTTTCAATAATGTTTCTTAAGCGTGAATCAATCTTTACATTAAATTATTCAATATAAATTATTATGTATGTAATAAAAAATAATTACTATTATAATAACTCATAAAATAAGCTTGAAAATAAATATAATATTGGACAATTTTTTAGTTACCTATATTTTTTTATTTATTATTAAATAATTAATTTTTAGAATCATCCCTTATAGTAATAAGGTATGATTCTAAAAATTAATACTATAAGAGATTATTATGTAATAATAAAGATAAGATAAAATATATAAATGCTATATTTATAGGGATGTCAACTTAATTTTTTTATGGCAACATACATTTTTAATTAGCTTCTAAAATAGGAAATAATCTAATTAAGAAAATAATTGATCGGTAACAATTTTTGGACCAGAATTTCAGAAGTTATTAACAATTTTAAGTAATGATTGGTGATGAGGAGTTAGAGTTCTTAAACAAAAAATGCAGATATCTATTAATTATACACGTATAGATTAAANACATACATTTTTAACTAGCTTTTAAAATAGGAGATAATTTAATTAAGAAAATAATTGATAAATAACAATATTTGGACTAGTATTTCAGAAGTCATTAAAAATTTTAAGTAATCATTGGTGATGTGAAGTGAGAGATTTTAAACAAAAATAGCAAATATCTATTAATTATACACGTATAGATTAAATATTTTTGTATTTTAGAATTATTTCTTTATAATACCAACTTTTAGATGATATCATATACTAATTTTGACTCTGGCAGAAAATAATGATAAATGTATAAATATAATAATTCTAATATTAAGAATATCATAAATAGAAAAAAAAAGAACAGTGACTAGTTATAAAAATAGCAGTATTTGTTCCTTGTCTCCTGTCATTACTTAAAAAATGGTATTAACTTCTAAAATATGAAAATCAATTTTAAAATCGAAAATTTGTACGGTTTAAGGTCAAAGTGATGATATTAGAAAATTTCTATTCGTTTAAAGCAGTTCATCAATGAACCGTATTGTTAAAAAATAATTGGCTATAACATTTTTGATGATGTATATCCAAGTCTGCTATAATGCAAAAAACACTGTAGTATATTTAATACTACAATAAGGAATATAAATTTAATGATTTTACAAAATAATAATTTGCCAAGTCATGTTTTTATTATTCTATATAATTTTTAAATCTCATCTCCGAAAATAAATACATTTTTGTGTTTTTTGTTAGAACAAATAGTAAGGTATAATAAAATCGGGGAAAATATTTATTCTTCTATGACTCGTACTCATAACATATTTCAATTAATGTTGTAAAAATAACGAAAATACAAAGAATAATGCGTGAATGCATGAATGCGTGTTAACTATGATGAAATGCTTAATAAATATTTAAGTATATTTTTATTAGCTAAAATTAATAAAAAATATTCTTCAAAGATATATTAAAAACTGTAAGCATATTAAATGGTTTTTGTATTTTATATACGTTGTTAAAAACTTTTAGAGTATATTAAGTGCCAGTTGAAGAAGAAAATTATTTTAATTATTAGAATTAAAGAAAAAATTTAAAAAAAATTATTAGAATACTAAATTGCTAAAAATTAAAAAATTAACAACATGAAAAGTATTTTAACACACATGAAAACTTAAGCTAAAATAATAATAATTATCCTATAGATAAAATTGATCTATCTAAATAAATGTATACATAAATTATTATTTTTTAATAAACCATAGTTGTAAAGAGTAAAAATATTATATTTCCTAAAATTAATCGTCGGCTTTCGAATATTTAGTCATTTTTAAAAGTAATAAAATAATTTTAATGTAATAATTTCTAAACATAAATGATGTGTTCATTTTATTTACATATAAAGTAATTTATTTAGACAAATTTTTTAACTCGAAGTACATAATACAAACTATTTATGAAAAATAAAAATAATTCCGAAACGTTTTACTTAAATTCTAATATTGATTGATCAAAATATAATAACAAGAAATTTAACAATTAATAAACAAAAAATACCAAAAAAATGTTACTATACGCATTATACAAAACATAAATCATGCTTCAAAAAATAAAGATAAAAAGTTGAATATCAATTATTAATTCAAAAATTTATCCTTTCTTCGTTTTTACATTTATTAATTCTACACTAAAGTGATACTATCAGGGCTTGGGTATTTTTGCATTTATTAAGTTTATTTTAATCATCCCGAGTACAACAATGAAATATAGATATTCATATTAGTTGATCTTAATACTAAATAGTGTGTATCAATAAGAATGTTGACTTGAACTATCACTCTCCTTCAAGAACAAATAAAATTTCTGTAGTATAACACAGAGTGATAAACCAACTCACTATCTGTTAGAAGTAGTTTTATGCACTTCAGGATGGAAATCATTAACGCTGAATATTTATTATGATAATTGTAAAGGACCATCAGACGTAGATTTTTCTCGGTATGGTCTCTAGACAATAATTTGGACGATTTGTTGTACAAAAATTGTGGTATACTATTAAACTCAATTTATGTCTGTCTTGTAGAATAACTTTATAAGAAATATAGAAATACAGAAACTCATTATATGAATTTAAATACGTATGATGAAAAATTAAGTGCACCCAAAGAAAAACCTCAATCAAAAGAGGGGTTGTAATTTTACACTTGAAAAGATTATTTTGAAATAAATTCATACATTTTTGACTTTGCTACATAATTTTGTGGTAGAAAAATGAGCGAGGGTTGCCAAAGTTACGTCATCGACAGTGTATAATTCATGATGCTCTCCTGATGCATTAAGAGACGGTATAATAAGTTTATAGAGAGTTGAGTGTTTATACTTATAGTTTATAATATATTTATTTTATTCATAAGCATCATAGTATAATTATGACATGATGCTCCTTTTTCTTGGGCGACTAAAATGTTGCTAAATCTTCAAAGTTATGCATAAAAAATTAAAAACTTCAAGTAAATAAATTTAAAGTAAAAATATTAACATTATATTGAATCCGATTTATTTTAGCAGGTTATTTCGAACAAATGTTATTGATTAATAAGAAATACACTATTGGGTAATAAAAAGAGATCAATAAAAAGAACTTAATAAGTATACGAGATAACATTCAGAAATAAAATATTGAATATTATTAATATCAACATGAATACAAATATTTTAATTATTCAATGAATACTATTCATTAAGATTCTCAATATTTTATAATGATTTAAATATTATTTTATTAATACACTAAAAAAATACTCTGTTTTAAATAAAAATATGTACAATTGTAATGAGGTATATAATTATGATAAACATTTTCGATATTTTGCATTGTTTTTTTCTAATACCAAATTCTTCTTGGGCCCATGATTGTTTATTTTTATTTTATTTAACATAATTTTAATGTCTACTAAGTAAAAAGTATTTGTTGGTAGCATTTATTTTGATTCCGTAATATCATAATACTTGAACTCAAACATTTTACACAAGATGAGTCTACATTTTTAATTTATGATGTTTCTGTAAACTTTAAAAATAAATTTGATGTCATAGCGTTGGCGTTTAAAATGTGTATTTACCAAACCAAACCCAACCAAAATTAACAGACGTCATACTTCCACTTTAAAATTATATCAAATGGGTATGCTAAACAGAAATTTTAATTTTTGTTTTTTAAAATTACATACAATTAAATTAAAAATATATCATATTTCTGCATGTTACAAAAAGTATTTAAATACAATTTTAATCGATTTTTTTATTATTATAAACTTTATTTTAAGTCTCAGTACTAATCACGATGAATGTGGTTTTTATAATTTGTTTATTTTTGCAAATTAACTACTCTATCGAATTAAATAAATTATTATTTAATAATAATAATAATAATAATAAACTTGTAGCGTACAATGAAATTTTAAAACACGAAGGATGGAAATCTATTGATAATATGCACATCAGACATAAAAATAAAGACATATCAATAAAAGCTTTAACAGATATTGTTGATGAAAATAATAGTGTCGACAAAAATAACTTGCATGTTAAAATGTATAATGGGTTTATAATATTAAGCTCAATTTACGCTTATTTTTTGAAAAACGTTAACAATTTGATTAGAAATATGACAAATGACTATTGGTCTAATGAGAATGACCCGTTCAATTTTGATTTGATGATAAAAGTCAAGGACACTATACTTGTATTTGAGCCAATAACATCATGTATGTCTAATGCACTTAAATTTTTTAATCAAAAAAATGATGTGAGCAGAACTTTGAATAATTATAAAAATTATTATAAAAAAATTAAGAAAATTGAAACAAATTTCAAACATAAAAATGACAAAGCTATTTACCAACAATTTCATGAATTCAGTATTTATTTATTATCTAACCATTTAGTTGAATTATTTCTTAAAAAAAACGGCATGGGCAATGAAGAAAACTCTTTGATAGATAGCTACATTAATGAGTTTACTAAACTGAATGATAATGAAAATGATAATAATCAAAATTATATCAATCCTTACCATGAATCTATAGAAATTAAAATTAAAAATGGCGTTGACTTGCTCTGTAATAAATTTGGATTTTAGTTGCAAGATTAAGAGCAATTTTTATTTTTATTACAAAATCAAACCAAATATTAACAATATAATTAACGAAAATTGTGTTATTTTAATTAAATAAAAATTGAAATTCTAATTTTTTTTTATGTAAAATTAAATTAAATTTATCTATAAATTTATGATCAAAAATTGTATAAATTTGAAATTTTCATTTGATTATAAATAATCATACTATAACTAATAATATATTAATTAAAATCTCGCAGAAAAAGTGGTATGTATATAATTTTTTTAATAACTCTATTTTAAAATAATATATTTAAACTTTTACGTAATTCTGTTATAATTTTACAATATAAATAAATATAACTATTATTCATCTTCTTCTTTTTCTTCGCCATAATCCCAACTACTTGGGGTCGGCCACCCTTATCCTAAACTTCCACTTGACACGGTCTCCCCCCACATCCTCTACCCTCACAACAGCTGTCCTCATATCGCATTCAATAACATCTCTCCATCTCTTTTTTTGTTTTCCTCTACCTCTTCT